ATTCATTTGAATCCTGGCACTCAAGCAAAAATACAAGCAACTGTGGATAATTGTGTTAAACAAGGCAAGTATATAATAAAACAATAAGTTTTTTTCTCAATCCTTTAAAAGTTCCTTTAAAATGTAATAATTCAAGATTATTAAAATGTACAATATATATACATATATATATATATAAATAAGTAAATAAGTAAAGTAGAATCTATACTAATAATTATATACGAAATAATAATAATAAAAATAATTATTAGATGTAATAAGACTTTTTATTTGTAATAATTACAATAATTATTTGTATCATTATTTCAGTTAAAGGAATACCACATATGTGTGACAAATCTCTTAATCTCCTCACTTGTCTCTGGAAGGACTTCATCTAAGTTATCACTGATTTCACAATAATACAATAATACAATAAATCTATTTCTATATATGATTATGCAAAACAATTAAATTATAATAATCATTTTTTATATTAATAAATGTTTTTGTTTATAATATATCCAATTTTCATATTATAAAGCACCGTATTGTGAATTAAATGCTCTCAAAAAGGCATAATTTTTTTAAATATTTTATTTAAATATTATGGATATTATACTATTTTATATATCTCTAAATATTTTTTAACGATAAATCGTAATTAGATTTTAATTCGGTTGACTCATATGTTCGGAAGATTTGAGTATGGGTCGCCACTTCTATGAAAATAATTTATCTGAAAGTCTTCAAAAACAGAACAACAACAGAATAAAAAACAAAATTATTAATATTAAGTATATTAAATAGTTTTCAAAAAGTCATCTCAATTACGTACAAATTTTAATAGTCATCATATCCAAAATATATATCACTAAACAAGTGCAGTTAGCCGAATTATGACACTTTACGAATATTTTTGTACGAATATTTTTATAAATTCAAATAAATATACGTTTCTTGTGCTATAACAAATATAAAGAATTTTGTAATATATTGTTTTGCAATATATTGTTTAATTTATTTTATTTTATTCATTTATTAAAAAATAGCTATTTTAATAATTTCTTAAGTTATTAAAACTTTGTATGTATGTATACACAAAAAATATTGTCTTAATTATAATAATTGTCACTATTTCAAAAACTAATGTTCACTCAGAAAATCACAAAATAAACTGTACTTGACTGCACTTTATTGCTAATTAAATTGTCGCTACGTTTATTATCACATAAGAGTCGTCTCTCACGATAACCTCACGACAAAATTAGTAAATTATTGATACATTCAACATTCTATCTCTAAATTACAGATTATGATTTTTCGTTTTGGCCATTATGGCCATTATGGATGCCTACGAAATGATATACGTAATGATAACAACATTATCATTAAAAAGTAATATAAAATACATATTACACATATGTAAAATGATAGTCAACGGCAAGTTTTTTGTAGTGCTTTTACGTGATCGCTATATTTAGTGCCCACACAGGACATATAAGTACAGATTTGTGGATCATCGTCAGTGTCACAAGATACTGCGGACCACAAAAGTAAGTTAGTGAAATAAAAATCATGAAATTTTTAATACTGTCTGTTTGTCTAATGACGATCGCTGTAAGTAGTAATTAAATTATCATGAACTGTTTTAGTTTAGTATTAAATAAATATTAAATTATTAATATTTCATTAAATTATTATTTTGTCATATTTATATACATATATGGAGGTGTTATTTGCATGTATGATATATATATAGCAATATTAATTTCAGATAGTTGCGTGTGAAAATACGATCGTTGATTTAGCTTTATATAGCGGATCATTACCCGCCACGGATTTGCAACAATGTTATGAAAATGCAAATTTAATAGAAGGTAAATTTTTTAAAATTTCTTAAATTATTTACAATTATTAAAAAATATTTAACTATTTTTGGAATAACTTAATTCAAAATAAATATTTTTATAAAAACCGTTATGAAAAAAATATAATTTAAAAATAATATACATTATTTTATATCACAATAATAACAGAATAAAATATAATAAGATAAATACTTATTTTTTACAAAAAATAATTATTTATTATAAGAAATACATTCGTTCTAATGATTAGTTATATTACATATTTATAATAATATTTATTTACTTTTCAGCTGATGTAATTACAAACGCAGAAATAAAAAACGGTTCCTATAAAAGTCCTGAAAATGTAGAAAAAATGAGGAAAAATGCTTGTTTGACATTATGCATATTACGAAAACGAGGACAGGTAAATACAATATTCAATTGTTAATTAATTTTTTAACCATTTAAAGTGAACTATTTCTCATTCGTATTTCTTTTAGTTTTGTCATTTAATTCTATTAATATATATATATATATATATATATACATCGGTATATATATATATAACTATATATACGTAC